ACAGCGATTATTTCCTTAAACAGCGTTAACCAGTTGATCTTTGTAATGGTGAGGCGTTGTGTTTTCTTCGCGGTACGGACTGGATTCTTAAATGCTATTTAGACGAGCTTCGGCTTCGAAGGGTTAATTAATTATCAGAATAAACAGCGATTATTTCCTTAAACAGCGTTAACCAGTTGATCTTTGTAATGGTGAGGCGTTGTGTTTTCTTCGCGGTACGGACTGGATTCTTAAATGCTATTTAGACGAGCTTCGGCTTCGAAGGGTTAATTAATTATCAGAATAAACAGCGATTATTTCCTTAAACAGCGTTAACCAGTTGATCTTTGTAATGGTGAGGCGTTGTGTTTTCTTCGCGGTACGGACTGGATTCTTAAATGCTATTTAGACGAGCTTCGGCTTCGAAGGGTTAATTAATTATCAGAATAAACAGCGATTATTTCCTTAAACAGCGTTAACCAGTTGATCTTCGTAATGGTGAGGCGTTGTGTTTTCTTCGCGGTACGGACCGAATTCATAAATAATATTCAGAAGAACTTCGGCGTCAACTTTCTACAGACTGTAGAGTCTAATGTAGAAGGAACGTGAATGGTGCATGAGTAGGTGGCCGTGGCGTATTTTAAAACCCCGAACCAGCATGGAGCGACAGAGGAAAACCACAGAACATCACTGAGCATAACCGGGGTACGTGAGCTGAGAACCAAACCTGGGGACCTTCCGAGTGGCCAGCCATCGCGACGTTCAGTTTGCTTTCTGGATCGTGGCGTGACGGACAGACTGTGAGGTCCGAAAATACGGCAGGTTAACGCAGTGAGAACAGCATAATCATTCCGGAAGCAAAGAGTTCGCAGTCAGCAACTGCTCTTCGCTTCCTCCGTCCAGGAGTGACGTAAACACGGGTTTCTATTTGCATCTGTCTTGTTACGCCATTCCTGCCTGACTTTCTATTTCCCATCACTGCTCGGACACTCTCGCGCGTTCAGCTAATTTTCCTTTATGCAAGTCAATCGATAGATATAATTCACTGTAGACTCCCCACTGACGTCAGGAAAAGAATCGATTTTATTCCATGGATATTTTGGGGAAAGAAAGCAGTTGACATAGCTAACATTTTACATCGATTCAAATTTTCCTTTTCACGTAAACCTGTTTAGACACAGAATAGAACCTTTTAAGACTATATAAAATACAAAGCAACAAACTTCCACAGTTTATATATATTCTGCCTCAGTTTTTTTTTCGTTCGTTACTAAAAAAAACCTGGTAACTGTCATTACGGCAATTCGCCGCGACAGATATGCAACCAGCAGAGCGTCAACTATTGGGGTTACGTGCCACAGGACATGTGTCATTATGTCCGTCAGATTTCAGGGTCTCACGGAGGCTGAAATGAAGACGACTGACTTCTATTTTTCACTGTAAACATCGATTACTTCCTTAAACAGCGTTAACCAATTGATCTTTGTAACGGTGAGGCGTTGTGTTTTCTTCGCGGTACGGGCTGGATTCTTAAATGCTATTTAGACGAGCTTCGGCTTCGAAGGGTTAATTAATTATCAGAATAAACAGCGATTATTTCCTTAAACAGCGTTAACCAATTGATCTTTTTAATGGTGGGGCGTTGTGTTTTCTTCGCGGTACGGACTGGATTCTTAAATGCAATTTAGACGAGCTTCGGCTTCGAAGGGTTAATTAATTATCAGAATAAACAGCGATTATTTCCTTAAACAGCGTTAACCAATTGATCTTTTTAATGGTGGGGCGTTGTGTTTTCTTCGCGGTACGGACTGGATTCTTAAATGCAATTTAGACGAGCTTCGGCTTCGAAGGGTTAGGGCACTACACTGATATTCAGCAAAAAGATGAATGGAAAACCATGAAGACCACGTCACGATTGGCGACCCCGAGCTTCAAAGCTGGTGTCAGACGCAATAACACTGTGCTAACCCGCTCGGCGAAAGCGTAAACAAAGTGGCGCTGAGAGTTGTTTCAATGTTACCAATATCAAATTACATGCGTCAGACCGCATGCAGTGTGACGCCTCGCCTTCTTGTCTGAAAACACAGACCACGAATCCGTGGAGTGCAAATCCATCCGGCGGGTCGTGACGTTGCGCTGTCGACTGCAAAATTCGAATCCGGAGCGCACATTCTTTTTTCAATTTATCTGCGGTTTCAAATTCCTCACTGCGCTTGTAACTTTTACATACTTTTAGCCGTACAGTCCTTACTGACAAGCTAATAGTTGCTAAGCTAGTCAAGACATTAACTCCCTGGTAGCAGAATCCGCAGGTTCAACACCGACAACACCAGAGCCTGCCACCGGCCACGACCCTGAGCCAACTCCTCCCTAAGATCCATCTTCATGTTGCCCTCCCATCTCCTTTTTGGTCTTCCCAGTGGTCGTTTATAAGAAGGATTCCCTGCCAAAATCCTGTATGCACCTCTTGCCTTCCCCGCCATGCGTGCTACGTGTCCAGCCCACCGGAGCCTCCTATATTTCGCTGTCCTCACTGTTCCAGGTGACCCAGACAATTCAAGAAGCTCCTCGTTATGGAATTTCCTAAAATTCCCCACTTATTTCATCCCTCCTAAGTCCGAATATAATCCAGAGCACCCCCCCCCCCAAACACTTGTAATCTACGTTCTTCCTGCGAATATATCGAATAAGCAGCACGGGGCAGCTGACGAGGTGTGGTCCTCAAGCTTGGGAGGTTGGGCGTAGGGCTACCAACCCTCCACCGCAAAAATGTTTTATGTTCTAAACCCAAACCGGAATGACCTCGCGTCTCTGTATCAATCCTAGGGACAAATTTTACAGAACGGAGACACTTATGAAGAAGAATGTCTTCTGGGTTGTCCCGCCGCGTAGTTTGGTATAAATTGACCTGACGTTTCGGAGGTGCTTACTGCATCCATCATCAGGGCGATAAATAACTCGTGAGCGATAAGTTAGGTTATTTTATGGGGAGCAGGTAAAAGCCAATCCAGGCGCGCAATGAAAGGGCTGATTAGTAACGACTTCTCACCTGGGCCAATGCGACGCAATTCTCGGTCCCTCCTTTGTCTCTATGGACATCGCAGTTCAACGACGAGACCGCCAACCGAACTTTTGTGACAAACTTGGGATCACCAGACGACGAGAACACGTGACTTCCATGACAACCCGAACGCATCACGCGAACTGTTTTCTGTCCGATCAATAATCAAAACCCACTGCAGCGAGCATTACGTGGTGTGACGTCCCTAACCTCAAAACACATTCTCGTGA